ATATCATCCTCTAGAGCATATCGTTCTGGAGATACGGATTGGCTATATGACTGAAAATAAACACAATCCTTATAACTGTGTTTCTTACATTATGAAAATAGGTGAGTTTTTATTTCAACTTGTCTCAAAAGGAAACACTGAAGGCAAAATTTTGGTATGGTTTGGTTTCACTTGGCTTGGTTGTTTTGGTTTGGTTTGGTTTGGTTGTTTTGTTTTTGTTGCCTTTTTTAATGAAAAAGAAATAAATATGCAAGTGGAAATAAGCCATATAAACAGAGGTTTTGTAATGTGGTTAAGAAATGTCTAATCATACCCTGAACTTTGAAAAAGAAAGAAGAAAAGTTTGGTTAATCTCTTTTATCTGCACTTCTTGGTTTTATTTATTTATTTTTTTTAGCACAGCTTAGCTTACATTCATAGTATATGTAATAGAGTAAAATTAAGGTTAAATGCTATTGGAGAATTTTTGACCCTCCAGTCCCTCATATTTGTGTTGTATGATCACAACACCAAATGCTATGCCTGGAAGATAGAATACACATAAAGGCTACACACACACACACACACACACACACACACACACACACGACTATAAATCTAGAGAGAAGAGGTTTTAGCTGGAGTAACTGAGGAACCAAACAGCAGTGACAAATTACAATGAGAAAGAAGAAAGAAACAAGAGAAATACTTTAGCCCCAGCTATCGGAAGGGGTATTATCCTATGCTCTGAGGCCCCAGACTACCCACCACAGATGTATCCTCTTCTAATGCTAAATGATTCCATGACCGTAGAGTAAAGTGTGCCTTGCCTCTTGGTGGTTTACAAGAATAAACAGGACTCTTTAAGAGTTAATCCAGCTGCCCAAGACTCAGAAAGTCTGGAAACTTAAACAAAGCAAGGTAATGATTATGTTTAATTACTTTTTAAATTTTATTTTTAATTTATATATTCACTTTACATCCCCATTGCCAGCCCTTCCTTCCTTCCTTTCCTCTCCATCCCAGTCTTCCACCTTCTTCTCCATCCTCCCTCCCCTTCTCCTCAGTAAATCAGATCCTCCCCTCCAACCTGTGACAGAACCTAAAGTTGCATCAGGACTGAGCTTGTCCTCATGTTTTGAGGCCAGACAAGGCAGCCCCATTAGGAGGAAGTGATCATAAAGCAGGAAACAGAGTCCATGTCCTTGACAGCATGCATTCAGCATACTATGGGACCCACATGAAGATCAAACTGCCCATTGATTACATATGTGTAGGGGGGCCTAGGTCCAGTCCATGCATGCTCTTTGGTTGGTGCTTCCATCTCTATAAGCTCCCATGGGCCTAGGTTAGTTGACTCTGTTGGTTTTCTTGTGACGTTCTTGTCCTCTCCAGGTTCTTCTATTCCACTCTCTCTGCCTATTCTTCCACAGGACTCCCCAAGCCCTGCTTAATGCTTGGCTGTGTGTCTCAGCATCTGATTGATTAGCTGATGGGTGAGGCCTCTCAGAGGACTGTTATGCTAGGTTCCTGTCTGTAAACATAGCAGAGTATCATTAATGGTGTCAGAGGTTGGCTCTCTCCCATGAGGTGGGTCTCAGGTTTGGGTCAGGCATTGGTTGGATATTACTTCAGTCTCTGATATACCTTTATCCCTGAACATCTTGTAGGCAGGGTAAATTTTGGGCTAAAAGTTTCATAGGTGGATTGGTGTGTTCCTCCCACCACTATAAGTCCTGCCTGGCTAGAAGGTGGCCTCCTCAGTCTCCATCTACTTGGAAGCTCAGATAGAGTCATCCCCACATCCTCCCTGGAACCTACCCTGTTGAGGTTTCCAGCTTGTTTCAGAGTTGTTCCCACTTTCAGTTTTCCTTTTCTCTCCAAGCATTCACACCTCCCCTCCCCACTCCACCCACATCTGATCCTATTCACTCTTTTCTCTCCCCACATCCTCTCCTACCAAGTTCCCCCTCTTCATCTACGTCTACTGTCTATTCAGTTTTCCCATCTGAGGTGATTCAAGGAAGGCCTCCTCTGGGCCCTTCTTTTTACTTAGCTTCTTCAGGTCTGAATAATGGTGCGGCCGCCCTATAATATATGGCTAATTTCTGCTTATAAGTGAGTCCATGCCATGTGTGTCTTTCTGAGTTTGGGTTATCTCACTCAGGATTATCCTTTCTAGTTCCATCCATTTGCCTTCAAATTTCATGATTTCTTTGTTTTTAATAGCTGAGTAGTACTCCGTTGTGTAAATGTACTATATTTTCTTTACTCATTCTTCAGTTGAGGGGCATCTAGGTTGTTTTAAGTTTCTGGCTATTATAAATACAGCTGCTATGAACATAGTTGAGCAAATGTCCTTTCGGTATGGTTGAGCATCGTTTGGGTATATGCCCAGTAGTGGTATAGCTGTGTCTTGATGTAGAACTATTTCTAATTTTCTGAGAAAGAGCCAGACCAATTTCCTTTTTGAACATTGATATAAAAATATTTGATAAAACACTCACAAACTGAATCCAAGAACATATTAAAAACATCATCTACCATGACCAAATAGTCCTCATCCCAGGCATGCAGGTGTGGTTCAGTATACAGAAATCCATCAATGTAATCCACCATTCAAACTGAAAGAAAAAAAAAAAAACACTACATGATCATCTCATTAGATGCCAAAATAGCATTGGAAAGAATCCAATACCCATTCATGTTAAAAAGTCTTCAAGAGATCAGAGCTACAAGGCACATACCTAATCACAATGAAGGCAATGTACAGCAAGCCTATAGCCAACATCCAACCAAACAAAAAGATATTTAAAGCAATTGCACTGAGATCAGAGACAAGACAAGGCTTTCCCCTCTCTCCATATCGCTTCAATATAGTACTTGAAGTCCTAGCTAAAGCAATAAGACAGCTACAGGAGATCAAGAGGATACAAATTGGAAAGGAAAACCCAAAGTATTGCTGTTTTTAAATGATATGATAGTATACATAAGTGACCCCCAAAATTCTACATTTCTATAGCTGGATGAAACTCTTGGTGGCTAAATAAAAAAACTAACAAAACAAACAAACAAAAAAACAAACAAAAAAAAAACAATAGCCCTGTTATACACAAAAGACAGATGAGCTGAGAAAGAAATTAGGGAAGAAACACCCTTTACAATAGCCACAAATTATATATAGTGTCTTGCTGTGCTGTAATTCTAACCGAGCAAGTGAAAGACCTGTGTAACAAGAACGTCAAGTCTCTGAAGAAAGAAATTGAAGAAGATATCAGGAGACGGAAAGATGTCCAATGATCATGGATCGGTAGGACTAACATAGGAAAAATGGCCATCCTACCAAAAGCAATCTACAGATTCAATGCAACTCCCATCAAATTACCAACACGATTCTTTACAGATCTTGAAAGAACAATTCTTAACTTCATATAGAAAAACAAAAACCCCAGAATGGTTTAATTACTTCTGAAGCCTTACATTAATTTATAAGAAAACATTTTCTCTATGACCTTGGAGCTCACAGTCCCTATTCAATTAAATTCACCTGATTAAATTTGCTAATGGTATTAATTTTCTTTCTAAGAAAGTGAAGTGAAACTTTCCCGAGGAAGTGTTAGCTCTACACACCTTTTTCTCTCCATTAAGTTGAAATTAAATTATTAATCCAATTACATTGTATTGTTTCTATATATAATTAAGTAAACAAAACACTGAAATAAGGCAGTAGAGGAAGAAAGCCCACTTGAACTCAGTTTGTAAGTAGATATGGGTAACGGAAGGAAGAGGTCAAACTGATCCTAGACTTTGCTGGAAAACGGAGTTATCACCCTCTGCCAGGAAGAACAAGAGTGTTAGGCTGACATAGGAGCTATGCAAACAACAGCAGCCATGGGTGAGTAGTCTGCTGACTTTGTGAAATCATTTGGGGTATGAGGGAAAGGCATTTCAAACTGCAGAATCCTTTCAGTAAATTGCAAAGAACTCAGATTGAAGTAAAGATAAAGGAGAAAATAAAATAAAGTCATGTGGAAGACACCAAAGGGATCACAGGCAAACAACAACCTGCCACCAGGCCCTGGATGTTCCCAAGCTGAAACATGGAGACTGGATTCTCTTAACAAACCAGAAGAGATATGACCATTCCTAAGATAAATGCCAAGTGCCAGGCTCTGTACTGGCCATGGAGGTTTAGCAGAAATTCCTGCTATAGAATTACATAAATTCCACCTTAATGACAAGACAGGTAACATCCACACCAATATTCTTATAATAACCACCTGGTCAAGGCTAGCCAAGCTCTGCCTCCGGTAGTGGTAGCTCATGTCAGTGTAAGCCAATGTAAAGCCCATTTCTTTAGAGTTGAATAATGGGTTACTTGTTACTTTGTGATTGAAACGAAACCAGCGTCACCCCTTCTGTAAATAGTTCTTTTGATGAGCAAAACCACATTCAAAATTAAAGACTGTAATTGAAATTTAGGTGGTTTTTTTTTTTAATCCATGAAACTCATTTTAAAATACAGATATCTAAGAAAAATATACTGTCACAAGTTCTGAAGTTACTTGATTTTTTTTTTCCTTCAGTGTCTAGGACTAAGCAGTCTGAGGTCTGTCTCGTGTGCAGCCCTCAATTTTTCAAAAAAGAAAATGACTTATATTTGATGTTAAAACTTGAGTGACTTTTAGATCATAATGCGGAGTGGGCCATTCTGATGTAGGATTATAAGCATCTATTTTGTGTCAGATCTAATCAAATGACATTAGATTTAAAGTGAGAGTATATGCTAAAAATCTACTGGTGTTTTCATGAGTTTGCATAAGGAATCAGTTCACTTACGTGATATGTTTTGAGCTTTCCTGGGGTTAAGACGAAGCAAGAACTTTTGTTCTTTGACAGGATATTCAGGATGGAACATCCCTTTTCTCAGAGTTGAAGATAAGAAAGCAGGAAACGAGCCCCGCATCTACTCTTTCACCACAAGTTATTATTATTTTTGTTTTTAGGTTCAAGTCCACGTATCTCTGAACCTCCATGAAAGGGTTTCCTGGAAAAACAAGACAAAAGAAAACAAGACCCAAGTGTCCCAATGCACATGGGCTCCACACCACCGGGAGAGCAGGCTCCCACGTGGCAGGCACTGGAATGATAAGAGTGGACAACGGGGTGAGTTCTGCAGAAGTCACTGAGCTCGGAGCTCTCTTGCAGCTCAAGGGGAGCCATGCAGGATGAAGATGGGTATATCACCTTAAACATCAAGCCCCGAAAACCAGCTCTCAGCTCAGGTAAGAGGGCTCAGTCAGCAATTTGGACATTAGTGAAACAGGTCGCTCCGACTCTGTCTCTTTCCTAGTGACAGGGTGCTTACATTGGTTTGTGTTTTCCTGGATGATATTCTTCCTCTGAAGCATGCAAGTGTGGCTTACAGAGGCTTCTACAGACATAGCTAGAATACAGATAGTAAAGACAGAAGAGGGAACATTGTACTAAGTCTGTTAGAATGTAATGCTGGGGGCTGAGAAGATATTGGGACTAAGGGAAGGACAGTTTGAAAATTAAAATGTCTGACAAATTCCATTGGCCATTTATATGATAGGAATTGCAGTCACTGAATGAATCTCTTGCATGACTCGCTTAGAGAAAAATGAGTTTTGTGTTGTTTTGTTTTGCTTTTAAATTTTCTGAAGGGAAGTGTTTTGTAATCTGAAATCTTTCTTTTCTGATTAAGATGATATAAAAATCAATGGGTCATAGTGTTGTCCAAGTGTAAACATTTTATAAGTAAACATTTATATAATAAAAAACAAAATATTTTCTTAACCTGTTTAAAAACATCAAATTTCTGGCCACCCAAAGAGGTAATTCTTCACTTGTTGCCTCTGAAGGGAATTATTGATGTGAACATTGAAGCAAAAAGAAAAAAAAAAAAAAAAGAAACATCAACAACAACAAAAAACCCCAAATACATGTGGCGTTGGCAGCCAGTTATATTTTAGAATGGACAGAAAATATGCTATCGGAAATGGAGATGGATGAATGGTATAAAGTGGGCCATTCTCACTGAGGGTGGTCACCAAGGGAATGCAGGCAAGATCTCCACCAATACTGATTGTTGTTGCTTTTAACTCTCTCTGTCTCTCTCTGTGTGTCTCTGTCTTTGTCTCTCTCTCTCTCTCTGTCTCTATCTATCTGTGTGTGTGCGCGTGTATGTGCTACCAGGTGTAAATGTGCCATGATCCCTTGGTGGAGGTCACAGGACGGTTTTCAGACGTTGGGTTATGTGGTTAGTATTTTACTTGCTAAGCCATCTCACTAGCCCTAGTTTTGTTGGGGTTTGAGACAGGATCTCACGTAGCCTAGACTGGTACTGAATTTGCTCTGTAGCTAAGGCTGGTTTTGAACTCCTGATCCTCCTGCCTCCATGTCTGAAGATGGGTATGTAAGTTTGCTCTCTTGTACAGAGCTTGCAATGCTGTTTACGACACTCGGAAAACCTGGAGAGGCAGAAGCAGGGTGGCCTGACGGCCTCCTCTTCTGCATCTTTAGTGCACTCACTTCCACAGGTGATCCTACCCCTTCTTGGTGGCGTGTGATGGCTTTAGTTCTGCTGATCTCATCCCTGGGGCTGGTGGTCGGGCTCGTGGCGCTGGGGATCATGTGTAAGTATTGGCTTCTTGCCAGGGTTTTGATTGTAGGAAAGCAACACCCGAGCATTTCTGGTATATTATATGACACTTCCTAACTGTCTCTGCACAGCTGTCACCGACTCCGATTGTCCTGGGCGCGGCTGCTGATAGAACCTCAGCAAAGCAAAGTGCAGTTGGGAGAGTACCCCAGGCTGATTTGAATTACTTTTAAAATTTCCCTAGTTAAAATTACCTTCAGAAAGTTTTGCTGGCATTTAAGATCCTCCTAGCTATGGATCCAAGCTATCTTTCTTTCTCCATCTCTGCTGTGCTTAATCTGAGGCCCAGGCAATCTCCAACTTTCCTAATTTCATAAATAAAGCCTATGTCTTTCTGTGTGAACTCTTGTTTGTTCTAGTCTCTATACTTAAAATCTCTTTCATCCCATTTTGTTTTCTGACACATTGGTTTTCTGTTCATGAATATCTAACCATCAGACTTTGTGAGGTCACGTCATAATTTTGTGTTGGTAATTTATTTTCCTGCTTTTAACATATTTTAGAAGCCTTCACTTCTTATACTACATTCACATGGACACAAAAGCACTTTAAACACTATAAAATATAATATGCACTTTTTCATGTTTTAGTTAGGATACTATATTTTTTTTAATTTAAAATGTTGTAAAAGGAACTTGCGAATAAGAAACCATGCAGCAAAATTAACCAGACTGAAAGTCTGTGCCTCTCAATGACCTTCTATACTAGTGTTTCTTAACTTTCCGAATGCTGCGTCTCTTTAGTACAGTTCTTCATGGCTGTGGTGGTTTATGGTTGGGGTCACACCCAACCATAAAGTTACTTTTGTTGCTACTTCGTAAGTGTAATTTTTATATTGTTATAAATTGTAATGCAAATGTCTGATATGCAGGCTATCTACTGGGCTATCACTGTGAAGGGGTCCTTCGACCTGAGGGGTCATGAAGAGCCCTGCTCTATACAGTTAGATCGGTTATCTGAATGTGCATTTTTAGATGGCATTAGGCGTAGAACAGAATCAAAACCCTGCGTTGCCTCATCTCTGTAAAGCCTGCTTAGAAACCTGTCCAAGAACTATCCCAACAGCTGCCCTGGTCTGTCTTTCATCTCGGGACTTTCCCATCGCCAGTTGATTCACATGTTCTTTAATGCAACCCTTTATAGCTCCCTGTTCAGTATTCATTGCGTTTAAGCTCAGCGAAGAATCCCACCATCATCTTTCTGACCTTGAGACCCAGGTGTAATCTACCTCATCCCTCCATCTAGCGGTCACACAGCAAAAGTACCTGTTAGCCGAAAAGGAAAATCTCTCAGCCACTCTGCAACAACTGGCCAAGAAATTTTGCCAAGAGTTGATTAAACACGCAGAGTTCAAGACAAAGAGCAGTTTCGGTAAGCCTGGCTTGGAAACCTCATCCTTCCAAGCCCTTCACGTCAGTCGTGATAACTAGAGGGAGGCGCACCAGAGCAGGAACGCTGCCCACGTAGGGAAAGCTTTGGCCAGCTTTTGAGAGCCCCACACTCGGTGTTCCTCCCCTTCAGAGCACAAGTGCAGCCCCTGCGCCACCAACTGGAGATACCATGGAGATAGTTGCTATGGGTTCTTCCGACGTAACCTGACGTGGGAAGAGAGCAAGCAGTACTGCGCCCAGCAGAACGCAACACTTGTGAAGACCGCCAGCCAGAGCACCATGGTAAGGAGGCTCCCTTGTGAAGCATTTGGGGACTCCAGGGAGAAAGATCTCAAAGGAGACACTGAGCCTTTTTTTTTTTTCTCATGTGTTTCTTAATGGCTTGCACTTTGTGGTCCCCTGAGAAATTTGGGAATATTTAAGCCCCTACAGAGCTTAAATATTCAATCCAGTCATATTCCAAAACATCTCTAAGAATGTTTTCTTAGTAGGATTGGACTTGTGTGTACCACGCTAACAGGAAGTGGATGTTGGGTCAGACAGGACGCATCAGCCTGGGATGCCCCCATCACACTTACTCTAGTTTGCATGACTGGCCGCCTCTTGCTGCAAGCCCAGGTCCACAGAGGACTTTGAAGATTAAATTAATCAAATAAATGTACTCAGTTGAAACAGGAGAATGTCCAAGCATATCAACTCCATTGAGAGATCAGCTGGAGACATGAAGCATGCCCTTCCCCTCATCACTCCAGGCCAGCACCACCTGGAAATGTCTGTAACATAACGAAGAAGTGATATCATTTTTTAAAGAAGAAATTAAAGTTAAATATTGGTTGGATTTTTCTATCACATCCCACAGAGAGGCGTCTCTGTACAGTGTAGATACATGTTTGTGTGGCTATGTTTTAAAGAAAAGACCAGCGGTTAATGAATTAATGGAAAGGTGGTGGCTGGCTCACACTTCAGGGAGTGTTCTGAGTGTCACAGGCCTGTCCACAAGCTCGCACCAATTGTTGTTGTTGATGCTTTCTAAGAGTGGATTCTTATGTGCTCTTCTGGGGTGCATGAGGGCATAATGAACACATAACTTCCTTTCACTTCTCTTTCCAAGAGATTGTTCATTCATCTAATAGTCTACACAGAACCACTCCGAGTCATGAATCTATGTACTCAATCAAAACGAAAGACCCTAACTTTAAATAAAAAATAAATTATAACCAGTTAGGAAACAGTAAGTCAGAGCCAGATGCAGTGGTGCGTGCCTATGTAGTCATAGCTGAGGCTAGGATCACACGTTTGAGGCCAGCCTGGGCTACACAGCGAGAATCTATCTAAAAGTAGACAGTGTAGAAAGGGAGCCCCATAGAAGCATGTTATTTACTAACTCCTTTGAAAAAGACTCTCAAACTCTCCAACTCAAACAAATTAACATTTTCCAAGTATAAGATAGTCAATTAAATCCAAGATCTTAATATTGGGGATTGCAGAGCTCATCGACAACATATTTCTTCTTGCCACCTGTAGCTGCTGCATTCACCCCACTTAAATCGTATTTAGAAGTCTCGCTGGGACTCAGATCTTCAAATGGAAGGAAATACAAACATACATTATAAACACCCTAGAAATATGAGAATATTACTGCTTAATACAATTTCTCATGCACTCTATCCACTTTTCAACATCTCAAAGCAACTCAAATTAACGAAATCTTAGACAAGAAACAGCCCATTAGTGACACAGATAATAACAGGTAATCCCAGTTGTTTGCTTGAGGCTTTATCGTGAAATTGTGTCTCTGTCATCCCACGGTGCTGTGGAGACACTTACTGTTGTGTGAATATATGTTTTTAACAGGACTACATCACAGACAGAACTACTTCAGTCCGTTGGATTGGATTGTCACGCCAGAACTCTAGGAAGGACTGGATGTGGGAAGATAGCTCAGTTTTTAACAAGAATATGTAAGTGTCTGAAGCTCAGCCAAAAGACATTACTCAAAGCTTTGACGCCCACGTCTTTTCTTGTTGAATACAAGTTGCCTGAAAGTTGAAATGTCTCTCTAGCCTAATGTGGGTTGTAGCTGTCAGTCCTGTGTACCTTCTTCCTAAGGAGCGAGCACTCACAGGCAGTTCTGCTCTCTCCTCCCTCCCACCCTCTTATGTAAGTAATGATTCATTTTTATTATTGATATTTCCCCCGTTCGTTTCTGACTAATCTCTCTCTCAGCCTCTTTCTCTCTCAATCTCTCTCTCACTGTGTGTATGTGTGTGTATAACCTGAGCTGATTCTGTGTGCTTTGAACTTAACCCTTTTGTTATTTTAAGGTAGAAGTGACTACCGTCGGGGTTACTTTCAGTATCTTTTTGTCCTGTGCGTCTCCACCAATCAGGTATGTTGTAGATCACGAGACAGTTCTAATGCTGTACAATGAGGCTCCACACTTCCGATGTCATTGTGGGCAAATGGCCTCATCTCATTAACAGTTGCTGTATAAGTAATCGATGGGAAGGTTCTTGGCTACATATTATTTATTATTTGCCCTAAGATTCTCACAGTGGTACTCTTTAACCTGCTATCACAAATAATGAGACACAGATACCTGTTAGATTTATAATTGCCTTATTTACCTTGTACTGGGCAGATATTTCACTTACAGTGTCTCGATAACCTCATCATCCATCTCCATCTCCCAGTTCCCATCCAATGCCATCCACCTTAATCCTCCTCAGTTGGGCTACCTTTCATCCATAATCCCATGGTACTTGTATAATCCCAGTCTCCATCTGGGCCTTTTCACATCATTACTGGAGTCCTTCCTCAGCCCATGGGGCATTTTCCCCAGGCGAACCCATCCTGGAGTCCTCCTCCTTTCTTGCCCCGTCCATCTGTTTGCCATGATCCACTCTTGAACCCCTAAAGCGTAGGAACCTTAACCACACCTATCCCATTCTGCCCTGGCCAGGTATAAGCTGTTTAATCAACCAATCAGATATATCTTAGGCAGGTTTACAAAACAGAGATAGGTGTAACCAGATCCTGAGGGCCAGTAACACACATCAGAGCAGCCTTCAACGAAGAGTTATCTCATTCAGTATGGATCTGTCTCTCTCTAATTTTTAAATTTTCAATTTTATTTAGTGTATGTGTGTGTGTGTGTGTGTGTGTGTGTGTGTGTGTGTGTAATATGACCCCTGAACCACCAATTTCAACACCCTTTGTTTATCTTACGCAATCCTGCACTCTCTCTGTCCAGAACTTATGACCACTATCACTATTTAAATAACTAATTAAGCCTACAGGTATTTAACATTTACTTTGGATAGAATCCCAGAACGCACAAATACATGCAAACCTCCTGTAAACCTTAGCCATTCCTTATTGCCTTGCTCACAATATTTCAGGAAACAGGTGTTCTCTCTTAAATTCTCAAGGAGCCAAATTCCCTTTTTCCTTTTAGATTCCGTGACTAACTTTTCCATGCTGGTCAAGTCCAGTTGAAGGCTGCCTCCTCAGTGAAATCAACTCTAATGGCTCACACTAAATTGTTTTCATTTCAGCACACTTGTGTCTTCCTGCTATTTTCCCATCTGCTTATCTGTGAGCACCTTACCATTTTATCCTTATTGAAGTTTGGGTTTTAAAACAGAATAAACCTTGTCTTGCCTCCTCTTCAGTCATTAGTTGGTATCTATAGGTTTCTTTCAAACAGATTAAGTGTATTTTCCTTGTCTTTCATTGTAAACAGTGATTCAGAGAATAGAGGCAAACTTGCGTACAATTGCCCTCCAATTGTCTGGTTTAAATCTATTACTTGGTGCTGTTATTTCTCAGCTCTGCAGTATTTAGTCACCTTACTTTCCCCTGAGAGTTTTTCTGTGTTGTGCAGCTAGCTGCTGGCTCTATAAGAACTTCCTACTTCCTCTCTGTTTGTGTAAGACCTACTCTCCATTCAATATTGGCAAAGTGAATTGTAGCTAAAGCTTTGCTTGGCATGCCTGGTCATGATGAGCATTTCCCCTCTGGACTCCCATGTCCTTAGCATTGACCTCTTCCTTGTCTTACACTGTATCAAATTGCTGCTGAGTTTTTCAGGTTCAGATTGTACACGCAGACACAGACAGAGGGGGGGGGTCTCAAGGATTAGAATGGTTTCTTCATCCACCCTAAGCCTCTGGTTTGAGCAATAAAACATGCATGTCTTGTGTTTCCTTATCTATTTGTACTTCTAAAAAAAACGTACAATCTAATTTTTTTTTTCATTTGTAGGATTGATCTTTCTGGAAATGCAAGAGAAAACATGAATTGTGCTTATCTTTATAACAGAAGAATCCATCCAGCTTCCTGTGAGGACAGACATTATTTAATGTGTGAGAGGAAGGCTGGCTTAACAAGAGTGGACCAACTGCTTTAAAACAGAAGGACAGACAGGATGTCAGATGAGTGCTTGATCACATAATAAAAGATCTGGACAAAAGATCCGCAGCCATAAACTGCTTATTTTGTTGTTGTTTTGTATAATGCTTAGACCACATAACTGATTCTTTTTCTGCCTATTAAAAAAAAAAAAAAAAAAAAAAAGCACATGAGTGGCTCACCAGCTTTTCAGTATTTTACTTCCCATAAACTGTCTTTTTATCATCCATTCCTAATTTTCTTAGCATGCCGTAATCCACTGCACCTTCAAATATGCACACAAAAAAAATTAAAATTAGATTAGGACACAGGGGACTTAACACTGTGCAAAATATCTAAGTTAAGAAGGACATCATGGGATGGTAGAAATAATAAAGATAGGAATCTGCACAATAGTTTAAATGTTATGACCTCCTAACTGAAAAGCAACCATGAAGCAGTTCTTTTCCCTATCTTCCATTTATTTATTTGTTTGTTTATTTATTTACTTTTGAAAGAGAAATGCTATCTGATCTGGAACTCACTATTTATAGTAGATATCTTTCTCTGCATTCCAAATGCTGGGATTAAAGACATGTGCCTGGCTAACGAGGCCATTTTATATTTTGTTTAACTCCCATTTTTCTCATACTTAAAATAGGATGGTTTGGGGGCTGGAAAATACACCAAAGTGTGTGTGTGTGTGTGTGTGTGTGTGTGTGTGTGTGTGTGTGTATACCTATAAATGAATATGAAATTACTAAAAAAATATGAGATATATGAACAATACAAAATACATGAAAATATATAAAATATATTTTATAAAATTATATGAGAATACTAAAATAAAATAAAATGGGATGATATTACCTATCTTATATACCTTGCCAAAAATTAACTTCAGAATTTTATGGTATCTATACAAAGACCATATTATTTAAATTATCTGTATAAGGGAGAGAGGGAAGGTGGGACTGGGAAAGGAGGAGGGATGGGGATACAATCAGGATGTAAAGTGAATAAAAAATAAATAAATTTTAAAAACAGTAAATTATCTGTATAATTTGTATGCTTACGAGAAAACTTCTGAAAACTAACTATCCTGGAAACTGTATGGAAACAGTCCCCAGGATTTCATTGGTTCGTTGTCTATGACTAGCACCAAGCATGTCCCTGATTCTATGTGCTCTTCACTATGTGCTCTTGACTCCGGGAGACAACAGTTCACCTCTTTTCACACTCAACAGTGGTCACCCCCTGCACAACGCAGGGAAACCGGGTTTGAGAGAGACCTCACAGGGTCTGTAAAACCATAAAATATTTTTTGGCAACACAGGGTGCCCAGAAGGCAGAAGAAGAAACAGAAGTGTTGTATCTGGTTTCTTCTTTTCCCTGACAGTTCTATGTTTGGCGTTTGCTGAATAACCCAGAAGTTATTTATAGGGTCTGTGGTCGGGCACCTCTAACAGGATAAGAGAAAAAAGTCAGACTTTCTCCCCTGCTCCCGCCCCTCGCACCGCTTCCTTTGTTTAACTAGTGAGAAAGCAGGATCATGAATACAGTTCATCTCAGCTGAGGTCTTTGTGGAGACTGACCACGTGCCGGCATGACACTAGGTGGAACTCGGAAGGCTGAAGAGATACAGAAATCTACTTTTTAAACACTTCTCAGAACCCTGTTGTAAGCAGTCTGTTCTTAGCACCTTCTCATAAGCATTACTTTAGCGCTCACTCCCCCTGTGGTTTGGGGCAAATGGCTTAGTCTCCTGAGCACTGTTTTCTCGCCAATGCATGGGGCGGATTACCCTATCCAGAAGAGAACTGTGATTATCTTTGATGCAATTATATAAAATATTGATCAGAGCATCAACTGTGTGATGCTCAAAAATGTTAGTTTTACAGCCCTGAGCGTGGACGTGCAAATCTTCACCTTGCTTTCTTTTAGACTTGTCCATAAGGGAATAGAATTCTGAGCTACAGAAATGCAACAGAATTCATTCAGCGTTTTTTTATTTTAAATGCCCAGATCTTGGCTGTGCAAGATGAGAAGTCATGCCTTTTTTCTCTTTTTCTTTGAAGCTGGGGATTCAGGGCTGAGATTCTTGTGTGGAACCTTCATTTGCAGAACTGCAATTAGTTCCAAGTGGGAACTAAATGTTTCAGAAACTATCGAAACATCAACCCTCTGCCTGAACTTTATGTATTTCTACCACACACACGGGTTGAGAGGGGTCTTATTTAATGCCCAGATAAACATACATGGCCGGTGAAACCAGTCAGACTGCATCTACAAAGCCCCTTTTCCCCTTTGTACTCGCGCCTGAAGCACATAGTGAAATGAGAACAGCCCAGATTCTATGACCGGAGCGCTGCCTTTTCAAACACTCAGCAAGAAACTAGCTACTTTTCTATGCCACAAGTTACAGCCAACTTAACCCTCCTGCTTCAGGGAGTTATAGTGAGGGGGTAATACTTGTGATCTGGCTTTAACATAGTTGTTAGAAACTCGGTGAATGATAAACAATGGATATTTAAAACAAAGGAGAAACAGCACTACAGGGATCTTCTGTTGGGAGAAACCAATGGCTCCCTCGCAGAAATTTTTCTGGACTGTCCTAGGACATGCTGGATCTATCCAAGCTTAGGTTTCAGTGCTGATAAAATGAGAAGAGAAACTGGAAATGAGCAGCAGCTGATGGAGTTCTGACTGCCGAGGTTAATTGCAATATTATTTGCTGTGGTGGTTCCTTCCCCTTTTTCTCCTCCTGATAGAACTTAGCATATGCAGAGGGTTGTCTGGAGACCAGTCATTCTGTTTTCAGTTTAGGAACACGGAAAATGTTGGGAGAATGTGCTGGTCATTTTTCGTTTGTCCCTAGTGACCCTACTAGCTACTCCTTGTGTCTGAGGACGCTAAACTCAAATGGATACATTTTCTGGACAAACAGCCTCTGAGCACAAGGGACATGATCAGAAGTATAATTCAGATTCTCGAAATGCCTTGGTTTGGTAAAGCCCGATGTTCTGCATCCAAGCCTTTGGCTCTAGGGAGGCGGGCCACCAAGTCCCAGTGACGACCTTCCTTTGTGCTTTAGGCTAATAGCTGCCCTGCAGAGCATAGTTCGTCACACACTTCCCCCTCCCCCCTTTGTCTTTTCTCTTAACCTTTTTCAGAACTGTAGTTCTATTAGTGAGTTCCCTTACATTACCTCCTAAGTGTGCCGTTTATGATGAATAACGATTGATCCAGTGAGATGCTAAAATAAAAACAGAACCTGCAGTTTTGCAAGTTGTATGGACTATAAATTATTGAGAAATGGCCTTTGGACATAAGGACACGTGGCCTAAAGATGAGTGATATCCAAGAGATCAAATTTCTCAGTGGCAGTGCTGTGGTCACCGGATGTGATGAAAATGGTCATCTGTCCACTAAAAACTGATTCCTCATCCAAAAGTAAAGCCACCTCTGGATGCTGCTGCCCAAGCAAACTCAACCTTCATGTCCAACGTGCTAATGTGATTTATAGCACTTTCAAGTTATGGCTTCCAAGAAGCAAGCGTGGGTTCATCACCTTCTCTTTTCGTTTTCCATCATGGCTCCAATGTTCCAGAAGACAAAAGAAACCAAGGCTCCTTTTCGGAGAAAGTGCTCCATCAGCTAGGATCCCTGGAAACAAACTATGAGGAAGATCTAAACATTTACAATGTTGACCGGTGTTTTGAAGTTTACTTATCTTAGCAGTCAGTATCATCCTCATCAATAGGCTGATTGGAAATGAACTTAGGTATGAAATCTCTTCCAAGTTTTCTTGTTTGGAAACCCAAAAGCTATGTCCAACTTGGGTTGCCTAGGTTTGATGGTGTTTATCTTTATTCCCTGCTTCGTCTTCATGCTTCATCTCTTACACCAGATAGAAGTTCACCCTGTTTGCCTCGTCTTCGGCATCTGCTACCATGTGAAAACCCGAGCAACAGTATAATTTGACCATAGTTATTTTGAGTTCAGTACATTCTCATTTCTTCCTTTGAGGAGTTATGTTTCAGTTCCAACTTCAAAAGTTCCACTTTCTGGATGATGCTGTACCTTAAACCCGGTGCATTTTCCCCCTGTGAGAAAGGCAGCCAGTTCATTTGCTTGTTCCCATTTACCCCTCATCACAAGAGTTCTTTGTGTCAGTCTCCTAGGTAGATTGCTTTACTTCTCTAAACACCTTCGGCATGCACGAGGAAGAAATATACACCTCTCTTCAGTGGGACAGTCCAACCTCAGAGGCCTCTCAGAAGTGTCTGTCTACTAGCAAATGTTCAGGTAATAAATTCAAAATTTGTAGTAGAAAACTGGGTTTGTTTTTTTTTTTTTTCTGTGATGACCCCAAGGTGTTTCTTCTAAACTGAGATAGCCTCCTTGGACTACTCTAGGAGGCCTGACACATTCAGCAACAGGGAAGAGTGAGTAAAGGGCCCTGGGCTTGGAAAATGTGATATATCCTCTGCTTCAAATTTGAAAAAAGTAAAAGAAACCATATAATTTAAGTTGTTTTGGTTTTTGAATAAAACACTTAGCAAATTATCTGACAAACATTAAGAGATGTAGAAAAAATTGAAAAACTGGAAAAAATCTCCTCATGCTGCTACAATTACGTTTTCATTATTTAATACCTGTTTTTACATCTTAGGCTACTCTTTATTTTTAAAACTCTACAGCACAAAACATTTTCCAGGAGATAAGTTTTTATGTATGTTTATTGTCATTTCTTTAATTAATCAACTAAATGTCACATATAATATCCTACAGCAAATAAATGGATGGGCTTTAAGAGTGTTTTATTATATTTTCCCAAGCAATTACATTGTTAGTTTTTAGTCCTGACTTGTTACAAAGTAAGTAACTGAGGCTAATTTTTCCATCTCAGTTCTCCAATACAATATTAGCATCAGAATCTCTTTTGTCACATACAGCATCATTTCAAAGTCCCAGGAATGACCCAGAATCATCACAGGCAAGACATTATCTGGCTTATCATGATATTTTAGGATACATTTTATTTTTTATTAGTATGAAGAATGTAATAAGCCACATCATTCACTTTTCCTCCTGGAAGAGTTGTAAAATTAGCTGGAAATTTTTTGCTCATTTTCTAAATTACACATTAAAATTAAAAATACTTTAATGAATCATGTACAACAGATGTTAAAAACAGGTAAGAGAGTCTTTTTTTCTTGCTAAGAAAGACAAGATGTGATGTTAAGAATTCAACATTGTCTGGTTGATACTATTTAATCATTAAAAAAGATTAGATAGGTAGATAGATTATAGATAGATAGATAGATAGATAGATAGATAGATGATAGATAGGTGATAGATAGATAAATCTAATTGCTTATTAAAGCCATAATATTGTAATTAGGATTGGAGAGATATGCTATTAAGTCTATTGAATTTGGTATTTCCCAAGTCCGATTTATCCCTAGCTATAAGGTTCATTTGAGAGAATTTAAGCAAAGATTTTTCTTTTCCTATTAGAGTTTCAAATCTTTGTATTTATCCAGTAGGAAGGACTAATCTTTCTTCCACTTATTCTGACATCATCTCCTCCCATTCCTTCCAACTGCTTTATCTAACTCATGGCATTATTCTGATTCCACATTTAGGAACATGGTGTGTTGTGACGAAGATTTCCTGTGTGATCTGTGTGGGCTTATTAGCAACATCTATTTTCTTGGGCATCAAGTGTAAGTTACAAAAACACAACTTCAACGTAACCTGTTAACATAAATGGGTTATGAATTATGTTTAGCTGCATTATTATGTAAAAAGTCCATGTATGTAAATAGATGAATAAATCATTTAAGAACTATTTGAGTGCACATAAATGCTATAAAGGCATTTAGATTTATACTAAGAGAAAGGCCACAAGTGAGATAGAAGAATCTGACAAAATTAATCACCTGATGGAAAGGGGCATGGTGGAGAGGAGGGAGGGAGGAAGGGACTGGGAGAGAATGAGGGATCAGGACACGGCTGGGATACAGAGTTAATAAAATGTAACTGATAAGAAAAAAATAAAATAAAAAAAATTAATCACCTGAAAGAATGCAATTAATTAATGTATATACTATTTAAAACTGCTGGTATAAATGTAGAGCTATACTTGTGTGGTCTTTCTCAAGAAAGCGGAAGGTTAACAGATCAGGTATAGGGTTCAAACCATTAGTTTTGAAAAATAATATGCAAATTAGATTCACATATGTACATGTGCCCTGCACATGTGTAGACAAGGATTTCAGCAAATGTAACCTGAATGTCAGCCAGCACTGCTTGAGTAATCATGTGCAAGCTGTATGGACTTGAAACTTTCCCCTCATTCTTTTGTGTTTCTGGATTTTCTTTAATGTCATGTGCTAATTAAGTATTGATTTGAAAACTTTCTACTACAAACTACTTCTAGAGAGATCAGTTTTCTTTGCGCTTTTTCTGTTTTTTTTTTTTTTTTTTTGTTGTTGTTGTTTTTTTCTAACTCATTATTTAAGTGCAGTATGCGGCATCATATACTCAATAATTTTGTTTGGGAGATTTACAAGTATTTTGGTACAGTTCCCTGGAAAACTGCATTGTTCAGTCATCATTCCTAACTTGGTGCAAGTTGATTACGACTCAAACACTAACAAAAGTCAAGCGTTTGCTTCCTATGTAAAGTGAAACTCTACGAAGACGTCTCCTTTCCCTTTCCCTGACTTGTTCCCATGCAGTCCGTGCCATCCAGAGTGTAATAAGCAAAGCCCAAGTGACCTGGAGCCAGGTGTTGGTGGCGCACGCCTGTAATCCCAGCACTCAGGGAGGCAGAGACAGGAGGATCTGTGTGAGTTTGAGGCCAGCCTGGTCTACAAAGTGACTCCAGAATAGCCAAGGCTACAGAGGAGAAACTTTGTCTCGAAAAAACAAAACAAACAAACCAAAAAAAAAAAAAAAAAAAAAAAAGAAACAAAGAAACAAAGAAACAAAGAAATGACTTGAAATATCATTTATCCAGTAAAGTTCATCAGAATATGAAAAGTATAGCTCAACTTTCTAAAAATAAGAATATTTTTCAATCCTTATATGTACCAGGTTATTTATATGATAAAACAAAGAATTTTGGTTTTCTACTCCTAACTGGAGGTAGTGCCCAAACCAAGTAGTTACTAAAAATTAAAATAAAATTCATTCTCCAAGTATATGCACAGTTCTTAGATTAACACCTACCAAGTTATTAATGAAAGAAAAAGCTGATGAGCTGCATCTACTTCAACATAAAAATGCCTGAATATACAAGACAAAAGAAGAAAGCACTTGCAAACCACATTCCCAATCATATACGTGAACCTAAAGTTGATAAAACTCTAAGAACCCAACAAAAAAACCAAGCCATTCATTTGTAAAATGGAAAAATGACATGACACATTTCTCCAAAGGATTTATGGAAGTGTCAAGCAAGCATGAACACAGGATTCGATATCTTTAGCCATTTGAAAAACAAGTTAAAGCCACCGTGAGGCGCAGTACACCAGAAAGCTAAAAGTACAAACCGGAAAGACCACAGGTTTGATGGTCTGGGAAGCTTAATTATCGGTCACCCCTGGTAAGACTATACAGTGCTACAGCCCCTGGGGGAAAGGGGGAGTGATGAAAACATGACCTTTCTACAACTCAACAATTTCACCCCCAAACACCCATCTCAGAAAAATAGAAGTTTCTGTTTACTAAAACCTGAACATAACCTGGGTATCACATCTTGACTTGTAAGAACTAAGCAGGAAAACAACCAAGGTGCCCTTTGGTGAATGAATAGTTAAATAAATGTGGTAATCAATATCAAAGAAATCCTTTCAACAACAAAAATTCAATCAGCTATTAAATTAGCCAACTGTCCAGATGAATCTCCTGGTGAGGATCCTGAGTGGGGTGTGGGGAGGCCTTAAAATGTATTGTTTCTATAATATCAAGGTAGTGACAAAAATCACTGAACCAGAGCACAGTGTTAAAGAGCAGAAAGGGCAGGAGGGGAATGAGCCACCTTCGTAAAAAGACAATGGGCAGGATCAACATGATGATGGAGAAATGGCGTGTTGTAGTATTATCAATGCTGATATCCTAGTTATGACCCTAAATAGATAGTTTTCAAGATGGTTCCATACGGTGGAAATTGGGCTAAGGGCTGACAGAATCTATTATTTCTTATAGCTACATATGAATCTTCAGCTGCCTCAGAACAAAATTCCATTTAAAAATTAAGACAGGCAGCTTCCGTGGTGGACTTATCCATTATCACTGTTGTAGAGATGTCTTATTACAGGAATGCATGCGTGAAATGTATCTGGTTCTACCATTGAAATCATAGAGACACATGGCACCTATTCGTGTGTGTGTGTGTGTGTGTGTGTGTGTGTGTTTTAACAACTTGCAACAGGAGTTACCTGCCCTCCCAGAACCCAAGATTTTAATATATCCACCTTGCTGGAAAAGAGGTTAAGGGTTGGGGCTTTAACTCAGTGGTAGAGCTCTTGCCTAGTGAGCACATCTGGCTTTTGTATCTAGCACTGAAAACCACCACCACCAAAAATCCAGTGAACTAGAAAATAAAGCAGAAGAAATACATATATTTTTTTAAAGTGTGAAAAAGATGATAGCAAAACACTGAAATAGGAGCAAACAGGAGCTACATGAAACAGGAGCTACATGAAAAAGACTAGGTAAGCTATGTGTTGTGGTGCTTAAACTTGTCCTCTTGGTTAGTCTGGGACCAGTAACGTGTTTCCAAGGAGGATTAATTAAACGGAAGCTCTCCTTGTGAGAAGCAGCATCACCTAGTCTGGAAAGCCTGGATGGAGAAGAAGAGAGCCCTCCTGTGTCAGCATTCTCTACTCCCTTCCTGGGTGCTTTGATGTAATCCATTCTGTTCCTCCAATGCCTTCCTCTTTGTCAGTTCATGAGAAGTTTACTGTGAGTTAAGTTTACTGCGCCACTTTTGAGTGGCAACTAAGAGAGAGTGGGTGAGAGTTCCTCATTAAATGTCACAGGGAAACTGCATAAACATCTGGGAAAGTGCTGACATCATTTCTCATAGTTACAATGACATCAATCCCAAATACGTCAAAATGGAAATGAACCAATATGGACATGAGACAATAGTTTCACATGTAAAACTAAAATTGCCAGGAGTTTTAGCATAAAGGTATTTATTTATAATTTTTAAATTAACAGTACTGGCTAGATCCACACTAATATCTTTGCTAACAACCCCACTGCTTTTTTTTCCAACTTAACTGCTACACCACTGTGTATATCCTTTCTAGTCTTTTAATCTAGAATGTGCAACCTAAAATATAAAATAATGGTGTCTCAAAAAAAAAAGACTAAAATTTTTCAGCCATTCAAATAAATTATCCAAAATCAAGCCAAACGTCTAACAAAATGTACACAGTAGCTTATAGCTTACCAAAAATCAATTTTCAATGTGATATGCCAACAAATAACTCTAGGCACAAATATCTCTAGTTGTTAAAAGAGACTCATAGGACCCAAACAAACAGCGGGCTTTAACATGTTGTTGAAATTTAAGGAGTTTACTTTGTTATACAACAAGAATGCAACTTAAGAATACTGAAGTAGAGATATTGCCGGTAAAGCTTCTCATCAGCAGGCTCCCACCCGGATAGAGCGAGGAGTGGTGGTGATCCAGACCTGTATCCTCAGCAAATGGGAGGAAGAGACATGGGCATCAGGAGCATAAGGTCGTTTTGGGCTACGTGATGAGTTTGAGGCCGTCCTGGGATACATGAGGTGCTGTCTCAAGATAAATAGGGGGAATAAGAGAGACGGTGTGGATCCCTGTGTCTGTTCCCAGCAAGACTTTTTCTGTTGGTTTAGGAATCGCTGATGTTTGCACAGGATACTGTGCTATTAAGGAGCCACGGGAGTCTTGCCTGGGGATTTTTATATTTTGCTGATCATAAAGTCAAAATTTTGCTGAGACTAGGCAACCAGACTTAGCAGAAGGCATCTCTCAGGGTCTCATTAAAACCAGGGGCGCATCATCCAGCATGCTGCCGTCAATAAGCAGTGCCGACAAGTTAGTCACATTCTGGTCTCCTAATTCTCAGACCGACAGTTACAAGCTGCAATCATTAACGAGCTTGCAACACACCTTGTTTGAAGGTCAGTGCCTTGTGTGAACTTCAGATGTGCCACTCAGCCCATGCTAGGTAATTCCCACAGCACAAGGAAACAAAGGAGAGTACTAGAAAGCCAATGAAGGGCATAGTGTTTAAAAACTGTAATCACACATTTCACAGACAAGAAAATGCATCCGACCTATTTTTCATTTGTGAAGAACAGAAAGGGCTGTAAATGTAGATAACCTAGAAACACTGTACAAGGGTCTAGATGGAGGGGAAACTTAGAAATACTGAATGGAATTTAAATGTCTGCAAACTTTTGATCTAGCCACTCATCTTAAAAATGTCTTTCAAATGTGTAAAATGAGGTAAGGCTAAGATTCTTTTACGTGTGTGGATTTGTGTGTGTGCTTATGTGTGTGTATACACTCATACCAGTTTATCTTCGTGTGGCTGCATGTGTGTGGAGGACAGAGAACCTTGGGTATCATTTAGTGTCATCACTCAGGAGCCCTCCACCTTGTCTGTTGCCACATGGTGTCTTCCTGGCCTGCAGCTTACCCACTGGAGAATGCTAGCCAGCCAGGTCAGTCCAGAGATCCAATCGTCTCCATCTCTCTAGTGTTGGGATTACAAGTCTGCACCACCATGCCCAGTTTTTCATATGGGCTCTGGGAATAAAGGTCCTCAAGCTGGCACAGTAAGTGATTTCTATTAACTGAGCTATCTCCCCAGCCCCAAGACCAAAATCCTTTAAACAGTGTTTTCCCCCTTGTCATACAAGAGGATGAGCCATTTGAGAATAAAGCCATAGTGCTTTGCCCAACATGCACGAGGCCTTAGGCTCAATTCCCAGCCCTGCAAAACAAACAAATCAATCATCTAATTAATTTTTTTAAATGGCACCAAAGAACTACTGAAGGAAATCGTGACGCAGCCACACAGTGACTTTCTATCCCATTACAATGGGTGAGTGAGAGATGTTTGTGTACGCACAGGAATGAACACTGAAATATACTTTAAGTTAAAAAAAACCAAACATTCACCATCACACGAACAGACTCTCATCCCATTTATTAATTGATTTTTTAAAAAGAATTTGATAAATTTATCTGCTCTTGGGAGTGGGACTGGGTGAGCAAAGGAAAGGGATGGCCTCAAGGCTGTTTGTTCTTGATTGTTTTGTTTTTGCTAGGTGTCCTTCATAGTGCTTGATTCTTGAACAATGTAAATTTCAAACAGAAACCCAAAACCAGGAAATCACACCTCATTTATAGTTTTCTTTGCTGCAATACATCAGTATTTGACGTAGAATATGTGCCATTGCCAGTTTTCCAGGTTTCCTCTCTTGTAACGGATCAGCAGGAAAGACTCACCCAACAGGACAAAGCACTGAGAAACCAAACTCTGCAGCTGGAAAACTGCCAAGCCTTGCTACAAAAATGGCTCCACTCAGGTAACTGACAGAGGATCAGTGTGGTTTTGCATTGTTGGTCATATAGCCTAGGCTGGCCAGAACTCAGTATGGCTGGTTTCCCATGTGTGGTGACTGTTAGGGGACAGTTTCCCGGGTCCAGCCATCTCAGGAACAAGTTCCATCTTGCTGGCAGGGTCAAAACTGAGTTCATATTCCCAGACCTCGAAACCCAACTGCTGTCCTACTTCTTCAGGTGTTTTTTTATGTTTGTCTGTTAACCAGTAAAGAATGTAAAGAGAGAAGTTGCGATTATCCGTTATCTAAGCTAAGGCACACAAGTCATAATTACGTTGCCTGTCTTGACTTAGTTAACTAAGTGTAGCTGGCCCACTCCCTTGTTCCCTTATCACTTTAGATTCCAGGCCAGAGTCCAAGAAGACATTACTGCAGAAAGCTGAGTCGAAGGTCCTGAAATCAGGTGATCTGGAAAGACCCATGTTTTCTTCCTTGCTCGACCCCTAGTGTCAAAATATGATTGCTCAATACAACAGCCCACACTGCTCCTGTTCCCATCCTTTAAAAATGTTGTACAATCTCCCTTCCAAGAGGAGGTTCAGATCCTGAACTGGCTGCCTCCCTGCTCAAGCAGAAAATAAAGCTTGCATTTTAAGCTTGTGTCTCTGAAGTGACTTTTCTTGGCTTCCACCCCGAATCCAATAGTGACTCCTTGGCCTCAGCCTCCTGAGTGCTGGGATGACAGTCATGAAAAATCATGCCCAGCTAAGAACAGGTGATCTCAGTAGAGATCCAAATGTCTGCCGCAGCTGCACAAAAGATTTGATTCTGTGTATTCTATTCTCTATGGGTTATTAAGGTTTAGAGTGAGTGCTAAGACAGTTCTGAAAGATGGAAAATAATGGGCACATGAAAAGAGCAAAGAGGTCCTTACTCAGGGATTTGATCATAACCTCTCGACCTCAGGGAAGCGGGATTCCGGGGCCATTAACTACTGCTTTTCTCCCTTCAGCTGTTAACCTACAGTTTTCTAGGAACCTGACCAGAAATTTTCAGGGCAAGGACATGTGCTGAACTCCTTGTGCAAGCCTAGTGGATCCTGTTTTTGCTTTATCAGGTTGTAACTCCGCCCAAGGCCCCTCCAAAGCCTCTCCTGATAGTCTCCCTTATCAAAAGGCAAAGATTTCTTAGAGATGTAAATCTAGAGGGCCAGCAGAACGGCATGCAGGGCCAATGCAAGGACACTTGCTCGTGGCTGTTTCTGAGGAGCCTGTACCCATAATTATATAGGGGTCCCCGCATTTGGATCTTTTAGTTTCAGCAGCTCAGCCTCAAGGAAGTCCACACCCATGCTTTCAGGTGGCTCTTCATTTTTTTTTCTCCAGTGCCTCCCATACTCCTAGCCCTCATGCTTATTAAATTCTATATTAGAATATCTTTCACAATCTCCTGCTCTGTTTCAGACTGTCTTGAAATACTTTTCTGTCAAAAAAAAAAAAAAATCCCAGTTTGGCCACAGTTCAGGTCCCTAAAAGATTAGCTGAACCCTTCATATTGCTAAAGGCTAGTACACTCTCTGACCCCTCACAGCTGAAAAGCTTGACACAATTTTGGTTGCTCTGTAGGACAGCCTCTTCTGTACCTTCCAGTGAAATGCTAAAAAGATTGACATTCCTGAAAAGTTCACCTATCCCAAGCTTAGAGCAGGATCCAGCAGGATGTGTATGATTCCTAGGCTAGGCTTTTAAGAATCAACAATATATTTCACCCAGTCACTCAAATCTAGGCCTGTTTTCAATTCTAGCTCCAAAGTGGGCAATTCATTTACTTTGGCTCTTGCTTTAGACTCTTACTGTAAATAAAAGCATAAAAATTGATCTCAGGAATAAGACTATCATAAAAATTATTATAAAATGCAAGACTCACTTTCTTCTAAATTCATTAATAAAAAGTTAATTCAGTTTTATCTTTTATGATTATTTTTAAGCCTAACATTGTTTTACTACTGATTTTACAGTTTGTTAAGTATTCAATGGTGACTTATTCAGAATGTTAAATTTCCTCTAGAAGATACCGTTGCATTTTGAGTTATGTGAAAAGAAAAATCTACCATTTTTTCTTTTAAAAATTGGTTAATTTTTAAAGAGTATGTATGTGTGCGCAGGTATCTGCGTGGGGGCGTGTGAGTGCAAGTGGCAGAGAAGGCCAAAGACATCACCTCTCCCTGGAACTGGATTTACAGGTAGTTGTGAGCCACCCAACTTAGGTGCTGGGAACAGAACTTGGGTCCTTGGCATGAGCAATGTGCACTTTTTACTTCAGTGCCATCACTAAGGTCCTCACAGTTTATTCCAACTGAACATTTAAGGAAAAAAATGTTTGCAGAGTCACTGAGTGTCTAGAGTATTCTTATTATAGCAATTTATTGTAAGCATGAGTCAGTACCACTTCTGAGCCATCCACATTGAACACAGGGATAACCTGCTTTGGAGATCTGCTAATCCATCCCGTTTTCCAGCCTTCCAAATGCCCTGTCAACACTAAGCCCTCTGTGACCTTCATGGGCTCAGCATGTTGATTAGCACTGATTCCAAACACAGGTTGCTGAAAAGCCTTAAAGGACTCAGTGTTCAGTCCTGAAAAACTACCAGTGAGGTGTTTCTTAACCCCCATGGAATGCTACTCTTTAGTACCCAGTGTTCTCTGAGTTGTCCTGCCTTCCTCCTAAACGCCATGCTAGAAGCTCTCAGTCAGCTCTGCGCTGTTTTGAGTATATTCTTTCCCACAACATGTTCCTTAAAAGAACACCTTACCATTAAAGTCTGATTCTTAGCTCTCGTGAAATTCTAAAACGTTGTTTCTTTATATAGGCATGTTTCTTCATACCTACTTGTTTCAAGCCACTCTTTTCTTTATACATGAAATATTTTCTTGCTTAGGTCTCAGAATTAAAACATAAACTCACGGCTTACTTCTCAGCCCAGCCAATGGCTCCATGGGGAAAAAAAATAGACCCATTTTTTTCTATAGGAGGAACGATTTGGGTAAAGCCATCTCCATGCTGATTTTAACTGAAACTAATTATTAGAGCACTATTTCAGGTGAAAATTACATAAGTCTCATTGTTCCCAGCCTCAGAGAAGATGGAGGGGTAGGTGCTGTATCATGGGTACCATTTTGTTATTTTGGAGGAGTTGGGATGCCAATTTTGTGACTGCTGACATTTAAGGAAATGTTTCTATTTGAAGGTAGTAACTGCACCCCTTGCCCACTCAACTGGATTCAGAATGGAAAAAGTTGTTACTATGCCTTTAAAAGTTGGAACATGTGGAACGGCAGTAAGGAGAGCTGTTTAAAAGAGGATGCTAGTCTCCTTCAAATAGAGAGCAAAGAAGAAATGGTAAAGACTGTTCTATGATTTCATGTTGTTCAGAAAATACCACGTTACTCATTAAAATAGTACAGATTCTCATAAAATAGGATTCCTTAATTTTTCCATAGCAGTGGTATATTTTTAATATAAATATCAAAGAGACAAAGTAGAGATTCATATAATTTGTTTTCCCTTTGTTTTCAGTTGGAGAACTGAAAATGAGGTTGGTTTTTCCAGAAAGTGAGGATAGCAGACTGTTTACGCCTTAGTTAACCCAGGAGGAAGGACGCAGAGATTACTGAGTTGAGACAGGCTCCCGCTATCATATACATCCTAACTGTGGATGTTCTTAAATAGAGTTACTATGTTTGATGCTGCAGGGAACAAAATAATTTATAATTCACAGGAAGAAATAGAAGTATGGAAACTGAAGTCCTGCTCAGCATGTGATGGCACATGCATGTAGAAACTCCAGTACACGGATGGCTGAGACAGGGGAGTCTTGAGTTTGAGGCGTGTGTATTAAGATCCTGTCTCAAAAACAAACAGAAGTTACAAAGAATAAAACCTGAGCTGATGTCATGAAATACATTGGCTTAATAGAGGGAAATATATGCTATTATTAAATAATTATTTGAATATAGTATTAATAATATATTATTATTAAATATATAATTATTATTAAATTATTATTATTAACTCTTATTAAATGTTCAGTTTACTGGCCTCGCTTACTAGGATCTTGACAAATAAACAGTGCAGTGTCTCCGGAAGCATTTCTACCCTTAAATAGAATATCTAAAGTGGGATCCATGGCTAGACCTTTCTCACCCTAGCAAAATTGTCACCAACTGAAGTTTAGTTTTATAAGAACAACGGGGAATGTTAAGATTATGCAGCAAACCAGAAAGCTTTAGACTGTATTATTATAATACTTCAAAATTACTTTCTGCAAAAAATTTGATGACAAAATAAAATATGTTTCATCCGGAAAGAAAAAAAAAAAGTGCTCAGAATAAGATGTGGCTGGAATCTCCAAAATGTCACAATATTAAAGTGTAATATAGAGGAAAATAATCCACATGGTGAGTGAAGTGGGTGAACTTTTTTTACTTTTGATTATGAAGGATCAGCATAAGATTTACTCTGCTCTAATGTATACTATCTGGCAGTCTCTGAATTTATTAAAACTCAAATATTTTGGATATATTTTCCATAGTATTTAACACACCATACTGACTACACAGAAGAAGACTCCTCTGTGTGTGTGTGTGGGGGGGTGCGTGTGTGTCTGTGCGCTTCAATGTAATCTCTTTTTCTTCAGCACTATTTCTCATTGATTTCTAACCAGGCAAAATATCAGACTTTATATTGCATAGTAGTTTAGGTTGTTATTTATTTTTCTTCATTGGCAGTTTGTATCTTCTTTTCAATAGGATTTTATCTACAGCATGAGGACACTCAGAGAAGCTGAATACTGGGTGGGATTGTTTCAAGATGGACTCAGTGGATCTTGGTTCTGGCAAGACAGCTCTTCTCTCTCTGACTTGTAAGTCTATGAAGGAGACATTACAAGGAAAACTAGAAATGTGAAGACATTTTAAACGTTTACTTTGTACCTTGTATTTCCTCCAGAAGGCATAGGAGCATGATACTTTTACAGGCTCCTGACTGGAATTATAACTAACATACTTAAGACTTGGGTTTATTGCTTCTCTCTTAGTTAGGGTTTCTATTGTTGTGATGAAACATAGTGACCAAAAAACAACTTGGACAGGAAAGGGTTTATTTTGTTTACATATCCACATGGCTGTTCATTACCGAAGGAAGTCAGGACAGGAACAGAAACAGGACAGGAACCTGGAGGCAGGAACTGATACAGAGGCCATGGAAGGGTATTTACTGGTTTGTTCCTCATGGCTTGCTCAGTCTGCTTTCTTATGGAACCCACAACCACCATCCCAGTGATGGCATACCCGCAATGGACTGAGACCTCGCCCATTAATCATTAACTGAAAATATGCCTTACAGGTTTGCCTACAACCCGATCTTATGGAGGCATTTTCTTAATTGAGGTTCCCTCCTCTCAAATGACTTTAGCTTTTGTGTCAAGTTGACATAAAACTATCCTGCACAGCTTCTAAATCTCCCTCCTTATCAGTCCACCTACCATTATCCCTTAGAAAATTCTTATCATAATCCAAGTGTCTAAACAGGCAATATAATGCAAGTATCAAGAACATTCTTTCTCTAACTGTTAATGCTGAGAGAGCCTTCTGGTCAAAAGACTAGTGACTATTGGGCACTTTCTATGTTGAGGTTTCCAGATGGGAGTGGAGATTCGTGGGCACCATCAGGTACCTTAGCATTTTGAGAATGGAATCAATAGAAACACACTGGATAATTACATAGCTTTGTGTAAACATGGCTTGGTTTTCTTTATAAGACCTTTGCTTAAATTACAGCAACGTATTTTTTAGTAAAACTAAAAGGAGGATAAAACCACCACAAGAGGGTGACACATTAAAGCAAGTTAACGTGACTCCAACAGCGTCTTTGGAGAGTTTCCCTTTCAAGTACCACTGTCGTTTTCAAGTCTAACCTCTAACCTGGGAAGTTAACTTTTTCAGGTTGCCAACAAAGAGCAAGCATTCAGCGGAGCAGCTCTGTGGATACCTCAAAGACCGTAACTTCCTCTCAGATAACTGCAAGAGCTGGAAATATTTTATCTGTGAGAAGAATGCATTTGGGTCCTGCGTCTGAAAGATGTAACTCAAAGCCTCCTCTGTTACATGAGTGTTTGAAAGAGGCCAAGAGCAAAGGCAGGAGGAGATTGCTGTGTGGCCCATGAAAGCAGATTTGCTCTATATTTACACTTGGCAATATTCTTTAGAGAGAAGTGAGCAGCATAGGGACCTCCCGTGTTTGTAATTTTCCTCTGACATAGAGGTTTGCAGTGTCTTACCTTTGGAACTAGGAGTCTATTGCTCTAGGATTTGGGAGCTCAGGTTGAATGCTTATAGCCCTGGGTCTTAGTCACCACCGGCCCCAGCTCTTGGCAGATTTCATAATCCTCGATCATTAGTAAAAGCAGCACCACACAGGAGTCCAGTCGCAACAGGTATCTCCCACTAGTGTCATAGTTCTTGGATGGCTGTAGGAAGATGGGACACTCACCTCTGCAGTGACTGTTACAGTCCTCTTGTCTAGAATGTGGAACTATCCCATCAGCCCCTGTTGGGTGCTAGCGTTACAGTTCCCAGCGTAGGTAGTCTGTGATCCTGGGTCCTAAAGACCGGCAGCTCCTTGGTTCTTCCAGTTCCCTGAGTCCACTGTTTGTCCTCTCTGATTTGCCACAGCCTTCTGTCTTTAAACAGCCTTGCTCTTCTACCTTCTCTCTTATTGTCTCTGACTGCACCATTCCTCGGTGTCTCCCTGCTTCTGCTGCCCAGTCTTTCTGCCATGGCTGCTCTCTGGAATTCTTCAGCTGTTCTCTTGTCCATCTCTACCGCCATGGTGTCTGTACTGCCTCCACCAGAGCAGTAGTCGCTTCCAGTGCTGCTTGGCTTTGCTAGCACCCCGGGCTTCTGTACCTTCCCTGTGTGTTACCAGCTCAGCCCACTCTTCTAACGATAACAAGCAAAGGAGGTGAGAAAGAACCACTCGGGAAGTCTTTTCTTGGTCCTAACGTTGCAACATCAGGAATGTCAGGGAGGGGGTTTCCTGGCACACTCCACCATTGAACCAAACAGCTCTTTTAACAGACAAGGGCCAAGGGTTGGAAGTGCTCCCTTTCTGGCCGGAGGGAGCACAGTTGCAGAATAGGCTGGGCTATCTGCAGTTTCCAAGACCTGTCTTGCTTAGAATGCTGCCTTCCACAGGCTGGTCCAGCTGTGGGAGTAGTAGAACCTGGAGCCTGTTTTCAGCCATGGGTTGGTCGTATTCTTCAGCAGCTAGAGTGTTGGGGTGATCTTCTTATGCGCTTTGTAGAGGCTGTTTTTGTATTATTCAAATTCTGATTTCTGTACCAGCAGAGATTTGAGTATAGGCCATGGAACTTTGGTATTGTTATTTGCACGAAGCATTACCTGTCTCAGTGCTTTGTAAACACCCTTCTCCATCACCTTCTGATTGGCAAGGCAGGTGAGGATAGGCAGGACTTCCCCAGAGATACGAACTTCTGGAAAGAATCAGGCATGCGGGACTCTCCAGCCAGACAGAGAGGAAAAAACTATGTAGATTAGTATAAATGTGTTGATTTATGTTTTATGAGCTAGCTGGGAGCAAGCCTAAGCTAACACCAGGCTTTCACATAAATAAGAAGTCTCTGTGTCTTTACTTGGGTAGCTGGTGGATGGAGACAGTCCGACGATGCTGGAGTGTCCTCAGAGTAAGGTGCCCAAACTGCTGGACTGCTGTGAGGACAGTCTGGCCAGTTGTTAGTAAAGAGGCTGCTTGGCTGACAGCTTGAATCATTCATTCACAAACATTTAAAAGCACGCTTACAAAAAAAGACTTAATAAAAGCCCAATATATTACAATTCTTAACAATAACACTTAATCGTATTTAATAAAATTAGCATTTAACAGGGTTTAACTCCTGCCCCAAAGCTGTAGTCATTGATTTCCTCCGATCCATCTCAGAAGGAATGAAGGCCTCTTTCTGTCTGTGGCGTTGGGCTGCCGAGTTCTGCTGGGAAAGGAACTCTTAGAGCTTCATGTAGGTGAAGGGATGGTCAGGACATAAGTATCAGCATGTCCTACAGTACATGTGGGACTTTCCATCCTGCTGCTCATGAAACAGTCTGCACTGCCAAGATTAACAACCTAGACTTTCAACTGTCTGTTCTCTGTGCCTCAGCTTCCCTGATATAAAATTGTAATCTGATTCACTTCCAAATACTTCTTAAGAATGCTATGCTAATGTTACATGCAAACTATAGAAAATGACATTTTAGGCAAGAAAGTTAAAATGAAAATGCTTGCCGCTCACAGGAAGAAAAAATGTGCAAATTATTGTTATCATAGTCCTGTCTACCGTGTGTCATTTCTAAATCTTACTACATAGTACCCTCTCAATAAAAATTTGCTGAACTACATTTAATCTTTCATTCTGACAAGAAGAAGCTGAGAGGTACAAGAATTTCATCATTCCCTTCCCATTAAGAAGACATAACTTCGATAAATAATTTTTAAAAAAATAAAACCTAATTTACAGAGGCAGCTGAAATTATTTAAATGCAACTAAGCTTCCTTTAACCTGAAGGTCATTTCTCAATGGCTATGGTAGCAATGAGAAGATCATGTCTTTCTCTTGTTTTTGTTTATTTACCTTGAAGTGGTGTTTAAAAGGTGGAAGCAACACACACACACACACACACACACACACACACACACACACACACGCTCCAAAAAAGGAAAAAAATTCCTCTGGTTTTTGCCTGATCCTGGGAAAACAAATAGCCCACAGACCGTAAAAGTTGTAGGTGGCTTGGTTTTCGCACAGGTGGCAGCTGGTAGCTAAATATACTAATCTGGAAAACAGAAACAATGGTGATTTTTAGCAGTAAACACTGTGTCTCTGAGAGTCTTCAAAGGCTTGTCGCACGGCTATGTTTAGAGAAAGGATGGGAAGCACTGACAGTTCTCAAAAAAGTACAAGGAAACCAAATGCAAACATCCCTCGCAGATGTTATCCAGCCTGTGTGTATACAGTGCTGTCCTTACAAGGCAGAGATTTATCTACAGTGAAGCTGACCCAATTGCATGCAATCTCCCAGGCAGCCATGGCTGAGCCTACAGATGGGACAGTCGGGAGAGTGCTCACTGCAGGATGCTAGTGACCCAGGATAGCTGTCCTTCTTTATGCGAATTAGCCATAAGAGGACCGGTTTCATATCCTAATCCTACCAATGAAGAATTGGGTACTTTCAATCCATCTTATTGAGTCAACATTTAAGTGGAGAACAATAATAATAATTCCTCTGCAATTGAAAACTGACTCTGCTATGTATTATGGCACAGTAAATGCACCAATAAAATACTGAAATAATAGTATTGGTGGAATAATAAGCTTGTTGTTAGAGTCTAAAGATCTTTCCATAAATGGGTTTTGTGTATCTTAAGTCACATGCTACTTTTATTTTGGGTATCTTACAAACACCGCACTTGACCCCCAAACATTGAGGCTGGCCCCAGGACAACCACTCAACTCTTGTACCTAGTTTGTAATCTGTTTGTGTTCCCCAAGTGAAAGCTGCCCATTACCATTCTCAAACTTCCTGATGTCACCAGGCTCCTGACCTGTTTCCTGCTGATAAGTCCTGAGAGTGTTCAATATCCTCAGGAAAAGAAATAGCTCATTGTGTACCCAAGGGAGCGCACTCTATGGGAAAGGCCATGCTCTCTGTTTGAATCTTCCTGCTGCACTTTCTTCACAATTACCTTCAGGGCAGAGACTAGAAAAAGCTCTTCTCATCCCCCTCATCCTGGGAAAGCCAGTTCTTGTGGTTGCCAATTTTTATTATCAGCAAGCCTTTCCTTCAAATTCATTTTATGATCACTTTTTATGTTTTAAGTGTTTGTGGAGACACTGTCATGCCTCACCCATTCTCTCATCTTTTGAAATGTTTGTTTATGATGTAAGCAACAGTATGAAGTTAGGATGTGGGAAGGGGGATTAAGGGCAACGACAAAGAATAAGCTGAAGAAAAGAAAATATATCAGACAAATGCTATTTTTCTTTTTTCCATGTGAAATGATACTTTGCTTGAGGTCTCAGACTGCAAATGAGAATAGATAGCTAGACTCTTCCAATCAATGCTAGTTAGAGAGACACATGCCTTCCCTCTTGGGGGCCAGAATGCCAGGCGTAAATGAGAGTCATGGGCCTCGTTTACAATTAAGTACAAAATGTTATTGACTTTCTCTTGCTGACTACCATTTCCTTCTGCAGAAGGTTTATCTTTATTTCTTATTTTGCAATATTGTATTAGACTTTAACTGAGCAGACATTATTTTGTTAATTATGGGAAATGTTTTGAGGATATTTTCACCCTTTAATGAACACAGATGCTGTATTTGTTTCTCCTTGTATTTAAATAAGGATCACTAAACCCTTTTAAATATTTTTTTATTTCCAATACATTTTCTATTATAATTAGCATTATGAGACTAACGTCACACTTACTTCACTTTGAGTAACAGCATCAGGAATTTATAAATATTTCCACTTTTTAATAAGCTACCTGAAGCGAGGTGATTTTGCTCAGTAAAGAAATCAAAACAAGAGAGACCCAAACCCCTCAAGCTTTAAAACCACAAATGCTCTTCTGTTTGCTTGACAGACTAAACCTGCACAGGATTCATTTGCCATTGAAGAAATGCTCCAGCTAGTTAGAAGGAAATCTAAAAGAAAACTCAAGTCACCTGCCAGTGACCTTTAGATAAGTGACAGTCATCAAATTCTTATGAAAATAAATAAATACGGAATTGTTTTTCCTCACAAAGTGTTAACCTAATTGTCATTTCACCACAAAATAGATGTTTCCCAGTTTTGTGAAATCTGATGCCGGTGGGGCCAGCCCTCTACTGTTGGCTCATCTCTCACCAGCGAAGCCAGTTGACATGGTGCTATCACGATGCTCTTGTAGCCTTGAGTGGCATCACGCAGAGAGACTTACGTCTCGTCCAGGGTCCGGCTGTGTGAATGTCACTTCTTCTATTTCTCTTCCCACGCCTGTTTAGAAATCATGAGGTCTACCACACCTCGGTTAGCCAACGTATCCACCTCAATGTCGTGATTTTTCCTCAGATATTTCACTAATAAAGCCATCTTCTTGAAAAACAATAAGTCTTTTTACGCTTTCTCATCCCCAAATAATCTCATAGGCAGTATCTTTATGGTGACCCCACCAATTGTCAATGAACAAGTGTTCAAAGCGCAATTGTTACCATAGTGTGAAAAGCATTCCTTTTCTGATTTTCCCCTCAAATCAAAAATTCATTCTAAAAAAACCTCACCCATTTCACATTATTTCCACTTATGATTATTAAATATTCAGTACCTGAAAGGTATTAACAAGGTTCAAACATGATGGAGGAAAAAAATCAAACTGTCATCTGTGCATATAAAAAGACTGTTTGGGTTTTGTTGTTGTTTGTTTGTTTTGTTATTTTTTTCCCCGTGCTTCAGTCTCTGTGTTGGGGTACAGGGACATTAATTCTAACTTAGATCAGAGTTGAGATGGTCTCTTTCCTAGGAGACATAATTAGGGGAAAGACAAATGAAGGAGTGAAGATTGACATATTGAGAACCATCTCAGTTGGAAGGCTGTCCATGGGTGTAGCAGGTGAAGTCAGCTCTGAAAGCCTAGGAAAGGCAAAGGGTGAACTGGAAATAAGGAGTGGCTCTGTGTATAGCCCACAGGAGTGGGGACAACTGCCAGTTTCTCTTGAACTGCCTGTTAGGAAAAAAGGAAGCCACTTTCTTTTCTTCTGTTCTTTCTTTTGCCTTGCTTTTCACATTTCTGTTTTCTTCCTTTCTTTTTTCTCTCTTGTTCTTTTGTTCCTTCCTTCTGTCACTTGAGGAGATGTTCTCACGTACCCCAGGATGTAACTGAGGCTGCCTTGAACTTCTCATGTCTTGCCTCCGCCTTCCAAGTTCTGAGACTCGTAAAGCACCAGTGAGTGGCTTTGTAGCAACTCCTTTCTTTTCTCGTGTCTCTCACTTTTTCAAGTGTAACGGAGACATGAAACAGAGGCTGATAACAGACACTGAGAAGGGAGAAAGCTTCTTTAAATTAAGGAGGACAATTGTATGGCTTCCTGGGGCTAGGTGGTGGTTCATGAGTAAGAATCTTTGTG